TCGGCCGATAATAATTTTTCTGAAAGCCATTTCTCAGAAAAATATAGGTTTAAGGCATCCCACTGTTCAATAATTCTTTGACAGCAAATAGTGATAACCATCGCGTTTGAGATGGGTGGAGTAATTTATGTACTTCAATGTTAAGAAATTGTTGAAACTGCACATATTGGCTTTGTCTCTTACTACTATGACTAAAGAAGTTAAAAATATTTCTAGCTAAATCTTCACAACGACGTGGTAGTGTTTTGCATGCCTCGCTACAACAAAGGTGTAAGGAGTGGCATATGCACTTCATAATGAAAATTCCGGGGAACATATCTTTCATTCTACTTGAAACAGAGTTATGGGAGCCCATCATTGTAGAACAACCATCAGAAGCAAATCCTATAATATTTGTTGTATCGACATCTAATTTTTTAAACGATTCTATGCATTTTGTAAAAAGGTTTTGGGCAGTTGCTCCTTTATCAATGTTATCAGGATCCTTTATGTCATAAACTTGTATTAAATCCCAGAAACGAGTAACAATCATTTTCGAGTCAATGTCATAATATCTTACAACTACGCACATGGTAGATTGACATGCTATGTCAGTTGACTCGTCAATTAATACTGAAAATTTAACATTTTTCAAATTTGTACTTAATGCTACTTTTTCCGAAGGAGCAATAATATTTTTAATTATGTTTGTAGCCTTTGTGCGTTTTAACTGAATTCTTTGACAAATCAAAGAATCAGGAAATATTTCTTTAAATACTGGTACTAAATGGTCAATAAACAAGAAAGCAGCATTATGCTCTGCTAACATGGCAGCTAATTTAATTTCTGCATTTTTTACTTGTTTATCCAATGGATCTGGTTTGGAAGTTGATAAAAATGTGGACATAATTGATTTTGAGGAAATAGAATTACTGATAGACGACTTGGTATGACTTTTACTCACTAAATGTTTTTTTATACAACTTAGTTCGGACGAAAAGCTAACCTGACATTGTATGCATTTACCTCGAAATTTGTCATCTTTTTCTGGTCTTAACCAGTTTTTAAATTTAGGGTCCATTTCCCACTCGTGACGATATTGCTGCTTTCGGTGTTTCTGCCTTTCATCTTTGGAACATTCATTTCTTAATTGTCTTTTTTTCTTTGGCGTTAATTGTTGATCTCGTGAGTACTAAAATATATTTTAGAAAATAGAGCTTTAATAAATAATAATTTATTTTACAGTCAATATAAATAATCAAACCGGTCGCTGGTGGATTAAACAATCTATGCACATTTTAATATGTTGTCGTACGTACCTTCTCATACAAGAGAACCAGTAGTCCTTTGTTATTCGAGAGATAGTTCTGTCCACCGAGAAGTGTCCGCCATAATCATGTGCCGACATAACGACACCCTTCCGCTTCGACTTCGGCACCACTAGTAACGGTCTACCTCGGAACATGCGGTAGAGTACCCCGTCACTCAGCTCGTAATGGCTTACTTCTGCTTCTTCGCCTCTAGTTCGTTCGTTGGGCGACTCCAACAATTTGATTACCTTGCGGGTGCGTTCGTCTGCTTGCTGCATGAGTCTGACCCGATCGGTGGTCGAAAGAGCGATGAATACTTCTAAGCGGCTCGAGAGTTCGGCTTCGACGGACATATCAGCTGATTCGTTGTCGTTCGGCGCTCGGCTCAGAGCGTCGACGTGCGCCATGCGCGACCCAGGACGATACCTTATATCCAAATCAAATTCCTGGAAAACCTCGAACCAACGAGCTATTTGTGGTTTGGTTGTCTTATTGACGTTAAGGTAAGTGAGAGCTTGACAATCTGTTACGACAGTGAAACGTATCCCGAGCAGAAACGGGCGTAGTCGATTAAGAGTCCATATTATAGCATACAACTCGAGCCGGCTCGAGTGATAATTCGATTCTGGTCGAGTTGTCCTTTTACTCACGGCGTACACCATTTTCAAACTAGATTGGTGATCACCCTGCAGCAGTATGCCCGATAAACCTTTGGAACTAGCGTCCGTGTGCACCTCGGTGACAACTGCGGACGGACTATACATCCTTACGATCGGTCCACTACTGAGCTTCATTTTAAGGTTGTCGAACGCGGACTGGTGTTCGTCTGACCAAGCATAGGGCTTGTTCGTGGCCGTAAGCTGAGTCAGTGGTTCGGCAATTTAGGCAAACTTCACGATAAAACGGCGGAAGTATCCAGCCAGGCCGAGAAAACGTCGCACTTCGTGTGCGTTTCGAGGTCGCGGGTAGTTACTGATTGTGTCGATTTTTCGTCCTGGTTCAATTTCGCCCTCCCTGATTCGAAATCCCAGGTAATCCAGCTGGGTCATTCCGAAGTTGCACTTGGACGGTTTCAGGGTCAATTTCGCCCCCACGAGGGCTTCGAACACCTTGCCCAGGCTGATCAGCATGTCGGCCCAGTTTTTCGACGGAATGATTATGTCGTCCAGGTAGGTATTCACGACACCGGCGTCCCTCAGATCCTTAAAAACTATAGACATGAGTCGCTGGAAGACTCCGGGTGCCCCTTTCAGGCCGAAGGGCATGCGCTCGAACCGGGCGACTGTGTCTTCGGTCACGAAGGCTGTCTTGTCTTTGGCTTCGTCTGAGAGAGGTATCTGCAGAAACCCATTCGATAAGTCCAACGTGGTAAAGATACATCCATGGGCCAATGCCCCCAATTGAGCATCAACGTCCGGCATAGGAAACGGGTGCGTTACGGTTTGTTCGTTTAACTTACGATAGTCGACGCAGAGTCTCTTCTCGCCTGATGCTTTGTTGACTAATAATACAGGGCTTGCGTACGATGAAGTTGAGTCCGAAATGATGCCGGCCGATTTCCATTCTAGTAGAATTTTTGAGATGAGACGCCTGTCGGACGGCGACGAACGATACGGTTTAGCGTTTACTGGTGCACTACCGGGCGTTTCGACGATCTCCATTTTCAATACGTCGGTGCAACCCAATTCGTCCAACGTCTTGGCAAAAACGTTGCGATAACGGTTCACGAGTGTCATCAATTCTTCACGTTGTTCGGCGGTCACCGAAGTGTTGATCTTTACGTCGTCGATGGTCATCGGCTCCCTTGGTTTCGATGCCTGGACCTCGGCCATGTAACTACATGGCGTACCGTCTTCGTCGTTTGCCACCGAACGATCGGTTGCTTCCAATCCAGCGCTAGCCTCGAAGATCAATTCGGCTCCACATTTGTAAAAGTGTACGTGCGGGAGTTGGAGCCACGTTTGGCCCACTAGTACGTCGACGGGCAACGTGTCATCGCTAACGATACGTACTTCATGGTCGGCAGCCAACAAACCATCTATACAGACGTCGACCTTGGTCTCTCCTATCGTTGAGGTGCTCGGTTGGTTCACGTCGCCTACAGCGTACAGTGGTCGACAAGAACGTTGGTAAGTAATTCCGGCTCGTCGTGCGACCGACTCGCGGATGAGAACGTTTGTACTACCCGTGTCGACGATCCCGTTTACGGACGTGTCGTTTATCATCACGATTTTAGTGTAGAGATTTTACGAATGACGTGGAACGGTTGAGTTCACGTAGTTGGCTGACTGACGGTTCGAGTTAGATTCGGTCGATGACCCGGCTTCCCGGTCTGGACACCGGCTTCGACGGTGTTGGTTAGAACCGCAGATCGTGCATTTCATCGGCCATTGAGGTCGCGGACAGTCTCGAGAGATATGACCGTCCCCTCTGCAGTTATAACACGTAATTTCTGTGCGGTACATCCGCGGCGGTTTTTCGTTACTAGGCGTTTTCGAAGTCGACCTTTCGTAGTCGACGGTGTCGGATTTCGGTTCATTCGGTGTTTTGGGCGCGATCGGTATTGACAATGACCCGTCGTGGCGGTTGCTCTTGCGATTCGACGCGTTCGGCGGAAATAAATGTTGTCGTTTAGCGCGTAGACGTTCCCATTCGCGGATGTCTGATAGGAGTACGTCTCGATCCATCTGCAATCGCCCAGACACCCATTCCGCCTGTTGTTGGGACCTTAGGCCTTCAAGCACGTAATCACGCGTCTCGGCGAACGTCAGGTCTAGCGTACGGCATAGACCAATTTTTGCGTAAAAGTAATCGATTGTGGGCTCGGTCGGCGATTGGACACGCGACTCAAGCTCTCGCCATAAGTCCGCCTTTCGTATAGTGCGAACGAACGTCTTACGAAATTTTTCGATGAAAGTATTCCATTCAGGGAATTCTTCGAACAAAAACCAGCTACGGGCAGCTTCGGAGACGTGGGAGCGCACGTACATTAGTCGATATCTGAGCGGCCACTGGTTGGTGTGTGCCAATCCGTCAACCGAACTAACCCAATCGTCTGCTTGGCTACTAGTCTCATGCCCGGTAAACGTCCAGATTGACGTCCCGACATCCGGAAGAATACGGTAGTCGACGTTCGGTTGTACTACTCCAGGGTTCGAGCTGGACGATGCCTGCATCTCGCGTAATTTTCCCTGCAATTCTTGTACGGCATTGAATAGATCGTTGTACTTCGGGGCCACCAAGTCGGCCACAACATTTTCTTTTTCGGATGGCATGTTGTCCGTTGACAACAACAACAACAATCGTCCCGACGATAACGATGTTTATCGGATAGCGATTTCGGTGTGATAAGTGATTACGACACTAATCCGTCGTGATACGGCGTGACCACGGTTACGGTATTGTCGATGATTATGGCGCGATAGCCACGCGACGAGGTTGCGATAACGACGGTGCGATAACCGCACGAACGCGGTACGATATCGACGGCGCGATAACCTCAAAACGGTGTGTAACGTAACACGTTTTCGAAAGGGGGAAAAAAAAAAACGTAAACGAACCCACGCGTATACGAGCGATACTTCGGAAACGATTTTCGATTACCGGCGAGTGCGAAGTCGTATTGCGAACCCACTTCGGAGATTCGGATTCGGACGATTCCTTATTTGTCACGCACGTCGCACTAAAGGAATCGCATCCCACTTCTGAAATGTTAGCGACTTGAAATAAGGGTGTCAGGATGAAGAATTTTAACACTTTGATGTCCGATTTATCATTTATTAAGCGAACAAAAGAAACGTCGCGACTTGCGATTAACAATATTAAAACACTATGTTACTATGACAGCTTAACGGCAGTTAGACGCCGTCGGCGGAGCACACAACGTCGTGCACCGCGGTTGCGTGAAAACAAAACGAGGCAGGCGTACCGAGTCAGGGCCGTGGCCTGGAGAACCGGCGGCGGTGGCCATCAGTGTGACCACTCGCTAACAAGTAATACACATTACACACTGAACTCTATGTATACTATTTATAGTTTATAAAATAAATATTTAGTATATACTATAAATAAACTTTTTATATAAAACTGTCCAGACGGCAGACAGTCGGATTTAGATAGCAGTATATTAGCTATTATCAAGATTATATAACTAATATTTACTAATCTTATCATAATAATGGTGTACGTGGTAATTATTATTATTAATTATTATTACCGATTCTCCGAGTTTTTATTTCACTAAAATTAGAAAAAATTACATTTTTCATATTTGTCAATAAATTCTGATAGATAACCGTACTTTTTTGTACGGTATTAGTTTTTGGATCGTACACCGTACAAGACCTCAAATAACCGTACAAATACGATCCAAACCGTACATCTGGCAACACTGATTATACATTTTAAGGTTATGTAACAAAATGATAACACATACATTACATTTTATTATTAATTTATTTAAGGAATGTTTTTCACAAAAATGTTTCAAATTTAACAGAGCAGTATATAAATTTCCATATGTAGTTAATTGTCTTGTTTTACTTTTAGTTATTAAAAATATTATAAACCTATTTTCAAGTTTAACTTTTGTTACTTCACCTACTTGTTTATTTGATTTCAAAACTATATCATCCCCAAATTTTTGTTTTATTTCATAATTAGTTCCCGTTCTAAACTTATAATATTTTTCTGTTTCAGTTACTATATGGTATTCTGGTGGTGAATCTAATAATTCTCCATTTACTTCTTTTACATTTGTTGCGATCCAGATATGGAGTTCGGTTGACAAGGGTCGAATCAAATGAATTTACTCGTAGACAAATTAATTATTGTTATAATTTTATTGAATGTTATAGGTTAGTATATAGACACCTTTTTAAGCACTCAGAGTAACGTTACAACTTAAGACAAATATCTCTAGCATGAATACTGTCAACTAGTCGTCACGTAGAAATAATGTGTCTTGTCTCTCTGAT